TATACGGTTCATTCGATTTGATAGTACCTATATATTATAATATGCCTATATAATTATGTTATTTTGATGGATTGTAATAATTGTTTTTTAAATATTTTGTTTTCCCTCAGCAGTTATAAAGAAGTTTAGAGTCTAATATAATATGCATTATGCGTGCAGGAGAAATTAAATTTCGAGGTAAACAAGCCTAGCCAAAATTATAGGAGATCCGAATTTCTAGATTGTAGTTTTTTAAATGCATGCAATGTAGAAATACACATACAATTGGCATACACGTGTCTAAATTAATAATGCAGTTTTTCAATTATGCAATATTATTATATTATTATATATGTTTATACTATATATATTTTTTCATACATGCGTTCTATGCTTGATAAATTCGTTTTTACTCCGCTGTATTATACTCAACTGAACTATTATATAATAATTCCTAATTTTAACCTTATCAAAGATACATAATATAATATTTTAATAATTCAACGATTTTCAGAAAACCATTCAATGCGCTGCACAGTGTTATAGAATATGGAATAATATATTTTTGTTTAAAATTAAATATGTATACATAGTCTATCCACTAATTCGCCGCATTGACATATGGAATTAATAAAATAATAAATTATTATTCAAATCCATCAACATAATGTTGGAAAGTGAATGAATCCTAAATGCAAATAATATTATGTACATAATATAATATAAGTAATATGGACCTAATCAGTTACGGGTTATGTAAGGGAAACAGTAGCATTGTCTAAGTATACATAATACATATTATACACTATCGGCATTTAAAAAGGTTTACTTTACAATAAAATGATTTTAAAGAAAAATACTTAATACGATATTTGTGTGTACATAGTTATATTTTTTTATATTTTTAAGTTTGAACTTATTTTGTTTTCTTAGTTTTCACATTTTTATTTTTATAGATAAACATTGATAATTAATTCGAAAAATGTATTCTAAATTCAATATAAGTATATCATAATATGATACAAGTTCTTCTTATAATATAAAATATAAAAAATTTCTGAATACTAGAAAATAAAATTATTTAAATGCTTTTAAAATAAGCGATCATTATTTGTTTAATTTTTTTTTCAGATTACTAAAACTAAAACGATTTTAAATCGGATATTCAATAATTTTTTGACATTAACCTTGCCATTTTTCACACTTAATATTAACCATATGTCCTTTATACTGTATGTGTAGTTATATAACATGACGTACCTCTATACGTACATTGGTTTTATGAAATGTTTATTATAAATTATACTTATAGTAGTTACTTACAATTTTAAACGAATGTTTCATTCTCTCTCTCTCATTGTATAAATATATTTATTTCTCTATAGATTACTATCTATTATTTTAAGCTACTTACTACAGATGTAGATTGATTAAACATCATTGTTTTATATTTAAAACTCAAGTTATGAAAGTATTGAAAATAAAGTAAGTATTGATGAGAAATACGTGATGTGAAAAAATTATAACTACTTAAAATCTAACCTTGGGAGGTCTAAATCCATGTAAAACCGTCAATAGATTGACCTTCTTTCCTCTTGTGTATTTGAGTATTTCTTATGTTTTTATAATTGTAACCCGAGAAAATATAAAAGTAAATTATTTATTCGGTATCCTTGCTCACACATCACTGATTATAGATATCATTTTTTTTTAAATATGTTCATGATATCTCCAATTATTTGGTGAATTATTATTTTGATTATTTTTGTATACATATATGTTTTTTTTTTTTTTTAAAGCCTTCCAATCATAAAAATATAATCACGGATCAAGTATGAACAATAGATAATTATTAATTGACATATACAATATTAAGGTTATAATTAAAAATGTTTATCACCTAATAGTAAATATTTGTACTTAATAACATTCAAGTTTTTAATTATTGCAAAATATATCGTCAACTTAGTAGGTACATAGAAAATAATACATCATTAATACTCCAACGAAATTGAAATTAAATAATATAGTTATTATAGATTATAATATATGATGTCTTATTAGTTATTACTTAATATAAATAATTATAGTGGATAGGAATTTCAATTAAGTACAATGAAAAATTAAAATAAGACCATATTTTTCTGAATTTGGATTTTAAAATCCTACGCAATTATAAGTTCAAAGGACTTGAAAATATAATTGTGTGTATTTATCTTGGTTCTTTGCCATTACTCAGTGATCATTCGTTAGTGTTATTATAACACTTGGTTCCAAATAAAATAATGTTTTAATTAAAAGGATTTTATTTTTAAAAAATTTCAAATGTTAAAATTTATGAAATTCATAATAATAAATTGCAATGCATTTATCGTAGATGTTAATATTTTATGTTACTGTATTCACTTTATTTAATCTATCTTAATTTAATTTAATATATTATAAGTACAGGTAATAATACTAAAAAACCATTTGAAATAAAATAAATAATTTTTTCTATTGTAATATAATTGTTAATATTTATTTATATGCGAACTGTTTTCTTTATTATTTTTATCTAGTTTGTTATGATATTTAATTATATATATTTCGTACTTGAGTGATATTGTGTCTAATATGATTTAATGAGTATATTAGTTTATAATAATATAATTTAGGTACTCTATTTTAAAAGTTGACCGATTTAGGTTAGTTAAAAATATTATACAATTTATTAAAAATTAACAGTTTAAAAAATAAATTTATGAATATTTATCTATATATGTAAAAATGTTAAAAAGCGTATGTTTAATTAACGTTTTTAATGTATATATTCAAGTGTGAGTTAAGACGATATGGACATATACCAACATTTTGTGTGATTCACTCATTGTAGTCCCATCTTTTTCACTCTGTTAATCTAACTGTTATAATATACTTACAAGCTTATAAAAGTTATAACTAATTGACTATATGTTTAAAATCCGATTTTTACTATTAAAATTCTAAGAAAAAATGTTTTGTTGTGCATTAATAAACTGAAAATTGTTCATGTCATACTTGTCATTCTAAAACGTATAATTACTATAAACATTGAAAAAGATTTTATTAAAAAATAGTTAACATGATATTTTTTTATAATGTTATACTTTTTTAAAATGTGATTGTTTACTGTTAGAATAATCAACTTGTTTGATATCACTTAAGCACATTCCGCAACATTCGCATCAAATATAATTTTTTCTGTGACTGTCCTCTATATTTTAATTTTCTGTTCTATTTATTATATTTTTGTTTATATTTTATTAGGCTTTGAGTCAAATTTATATAAAATTGATGTAAAGATAAAAGAACTAACTATTTGATGTTAGATTGTATAAAAAATATATTTTTATATATTCCTCTTGGTAAACATGACGTAAAATTTGAATACATGTATTTTAAAATCTTTAAATTTTAAAATAATATATTTAATGAAATAATTGAACATCATAATAGATTTAAAAATGTTGGTTTGTACCTTACCTATTACCATTTATTTTATGTATATACAAAATACACAATTGTAAGATATTATAATTTTGTAAAAACACTAAATTATGATCCTTTATCTTCAAAAGTATGTACATTTATATACAACTTAATATTTAAATCATGGTTTTATACATAAATTGTATTTTATTTTTTCCGGAAACTGTAAAGCATATTATTATATATTATATTATTATTACGAGTATAATCTAATGTTACAGTTTATAGAGCTTTATGTTGGAAAAAATAATCAAATGAATAATGAATGTAAACTAAAAAATAAAATAGAGTAATTGTGATAAGTATTTATTATTAGGTTTTATACAAGTTATAAAAATATTATATAATGAGAAAACAGTTATTGTTATTTGAAATTGTTAGACTAAGATTTTATTCAATTGGAGTATCGAACGATAACTCACAACGATAATTTTATTATTATTTATTATATTATATAAATTCAGTTTCATACATTATAATAATATCTAATAAATATATACGTATATTATGTTTATTGTCACACACATGACATATACGGATAATAAACCAGTAGGTATAAGGCGAAGATAAAATAATAAAATACAGTTTTACAGTGATTATTGATTACCTGTGGTATGAGTGGTATGACATATAACACCATTAATAATGCCTTATTATTACTGGCACGGATACAATTTGTTCGTTACGTTTGTCTTATATATTGTTGACGTCTAAAATTTTATATTTACTACTGTGCCAAATTAAAAATTTGGGCCAAAGACGGATTTTGTCAAGATTATTTTATTTTATGTATGCATATTTAGTTCATTGAACACCATAAATTTGCTCTATTTTTTTATTAGTATAATACAATATATATTATTTCTTTATTATATTATAGTATATCACATAAAAAGCTTCTTAATAAACATAATATATGCATGTAAAATATGAAAATAATGGTTTTGTATTTATTATTAATAAGTAGGGTGGCAAAAAAAAGTAAATGTAACAAGTCTCTAATAATAAAATATTTATTCATAAATTATTGGTTTAACATGGTTTGTGGATATTTTTCCGTTTAATGTACTTATTTAATATTTCTAATGTATATTGTTCAACTTATCTGTCTTAATATATTATAGTCAAAACCATCTTAAACGAATTTTGGTTTTAATTTAGTTGAAATTATTGTTAAAATAGTCATCATCGTGTAAATAAAATTCATTTCAATGATATGTGTAAGTAATATTTTAATTGAGTTCGATATCGCATTTGGAAAATATTATCTAAATTTTTATATTTACATTTTACAGTTACCGTATTTGTTAATAAAAACAATAAATATTAATAACAGCTAATTTGTATAATAATACTAAACCATACAAATACTAAATTTATATTTATTTTATTATTTATACTAAATTTAAAATGTGTACGAAATATTTTAGTATTACATTTTTTCTAAGTAATAAATTATATTAATTAAACATTATATATAATACAATATTAAAATGAAAATTACTTTTTAGGTCTAGAGAATTGATCAAAGGAGCTATTTTGGATAATGATTTCATGAAAAATTTAGAATCAACACAGATTAGAGAGATAGTGGACTGTATGTATCCCGTCGAGTATGCCTCCGACAGCATTATTATCAAGGAAGGAGATGTGGGCAGCATTGTTTATGTTATGGAAGGTAAGTTATTTTTAATCTAATACTATGGAAATATAATTATACGTACAAATCCTATGATACTATCAGTGGCTTGTCCAGAAATTTTCAATGAGAGGGGATACATTTTATAAGTAATCATACATTACGGCCAATTGCAGGCGCAGAACCAAAGATGCAAATACCGCGTCTTTATAGGATTAAAGTGTTAAAGTAGTTTATAACCATTATCTAAGATATAAGTTATATTATAATTTATGTCATATTACTTATAATTGTATAATATGTAGATGGATACATTTTATATCTCAATCTATGCGATATACATATATAAATTATAATCGTTGTGGTAGGTTTCACTGCTGCATAAAGGAGTTACAATCTAGGCATCGACCTAGTCCGATGATCCGAACGGATGTTGATATTGATAAACGCCGCATCTAGATGTTTTGAGTAAAAAGTATTTTGCGTATTAATATGATTTGTTCGAGCAACTGTCGATGAGTGATTTTTGTACGTGCTATATAAAGTTAATACTAAACGTATAAATAGTAGTACAAAACATAATATTACAGTATAGATGGCGTAAATTTTATTCGTAAACAATTCAATTTTTATTTTGAAAATCTTAGTTTTTTCTAAGATAGGACCAGAAATAAGTATATATTGCCACTTCGTGTGAATTTTATTTTACGGAAAAAGTAAAGTCTTGCAAATATGTAAACTAAGTTTGCATGTTCACTGGAAGGCAGGTATTCTTTTTACACACAAAAGTTAATTTTACTGGGGGTTGTTACTGGACACGCCACTGTTAAGTATTCGAATGCTACTATAGTTTAATTATATGAATTTACAAAATATAATGTATAGTCAGTTATTTGTGCGTACAATCGGGCGTTTATAGCTTAGTAAATAATAGATATGTATCTAAGAATTAAGAATTAAGAATGTCAAATAGTAGGTAGGTACAACATATTTATCTAGAGTAGGTATATAAACGAAACATTTTTTTTTTCTACGCTTAATATTTAGTGTTTACGTGGTGCTTATTGCCGGTTATTGATTTCTTTTTTGATGGAACAAAACGATGTGGTTTTTTTGTTTTTGAAAATAACTAAATTTTAACATTAATGACTAATGAGTATGTTATTTTTGAACAATAGATAAAAATGGACATTAAAAAAAATTTAAATCATAATTGTTAAAGAGATTTGTTGGTTTTTATACGTTCGTATGTATTTTGGAAAAAGTGGATATTTTTTTTATTTACTAACCAAATGTTGAAAGTTATCATTTATAATAATATATAACAATATGCAAAAAAAAAAAAAAAAATCATACAAAAACCGATTTTAACCGATTGTATAATTTATCATCTATATTCTACAACGATATTCTATAACATATGGATATCCATGTTACTCGATAACATCTTAATTAAACTTTAGTTTTTAGTTTTATACTTATGTAACGTTTAAAAGAGTATATAATAATTTAATAACGTTCTGCTATTATATTTCAATGCAATTTCATCACCACAGCTACTAAAATAATGTAAATATACATTTTATTGTGTATGGGTATTATTATAATAAAGTTTATACCAATTTTCTATGATCAATATTATGAATAAATCATTGTATTCTATGACTGTAATCGTCATTGGTGTTGTACAGTGTTAAAATACGAGTAAAACAATATTAATATATTATTATTTATTATCATGCAATAAAATAAAATACGCTGCTGCAAACTCGATGTGGCAACTCAACGTACACGCGTGTCGGTATTTGGCATGTCTGAGCGCGTTCGGTGCACGTTGTCATTGTGGACTATATTAATATTATTATTGTATTATGCCTATGCCTGTTTAATATTTATACTGAGTATTTATAACTTTGTTAGTCGTCGTGCATACCTATATTTGCTTACTATACTCTATCTCGCTTATGTTTTAATACTTACTTAATTATTTTATTTTGAATATTTGACGAAAATCGGTAATTCTAATTTCAAAATATTTACATGAATCGCTGCAGGCTATATCATATTGGTCATATTAGTCGTATTTGGTGTTTTTGAGGAACTCGAAAACAAATATATTATTTTTTTTTTCTGATTATTATTTAGAACAAATATTATTATGAGGGCAAAATCATAGCAGTAAGATACATCGTTGTATTCTGTAATTATGTACCCTTAATACTGTATTCTCTTAAACTACTGATTAAGTGTGAAATTGAAACTACAGTGCATATTTTGTGCTCTTTGTTCTCTTGGAAATATTTGTACTAGAGAAATTTGTTCTTTTTTTGTCAACTGATGTATTCACATGCGATGGCTGATGATTGACGTGAAACGAGAGAGCATACAATTATGGACATATATATTATTATGACCATCGTCGTTACTTAATGTATATATTATAACGGTATGAACGTTCTGATTTCGCGAGGACATGATGTTTCACCGCCAAGAATAAAATATTGTCTGTATGCGACCAATCTACGCATTGAGCGTACTGCTTGCGAGGTTCGATATGTTTTAGAAATAGTAATTTTTTCAATTTTAACACCTCATACATGTTTAACTCGTTGACACCAATTATATTGGTACCTAATATACGAAATGAAAACCGCGTCTCGACATTAATAACAATTTATTATTATAATATTATATAGACACAATCATTAAACGTCAATAAAATATGTACAGAACGACGTCGGACGTTGAAAGGGTTTTACTATATTTTTGATAGTAATTTTCTACTCATTTTTTCGATTATTTTCAGAATACTAAAAATCGTATTATTATTATATAAATTGCGGAGAATTATTTTGTAGTACACATCTTCAACACTCAAAAATAGTCTAATGTATTATTATCTGTCATAATAAAATTATTTATTTTGTGGTCATACCAGGACAGACCTACATACCTAAGTATCTCTAAAAGCTGCACGGTGAATAATTTATATTTTTATACAAAATAAATTGTTGTAAATTACAAGTTTATGAAAATTTACGCGTTTAACAATAATTATCTTTATTTTTATCTTAATCCCGACACATTCATAACATTTTTAAAATGTAATGGTAGCCGATGGTTAGTCATTACTTAATTGTAATAATATATTGTCTTTATTATTGAATACCTATACTAAATTTTAACTCGTTTATTTGTTTACATCTTACGTTTAATTAATTACCTACAAATATTAATTTTTCTCCGATGACAATTATTTTCGCTTTTGTTTTGTTGTATTTGTAAAATAATTGAGTGGGTGCGAACTACAGGCATCACTAGTGTTCTAAATTATTTAAGGTCTGTAAATGAGATACATTTCAAACTGAATTAAACAAGAGATAAATTATAATTTCATTCTCAGACGATTAAAATGATAGTAAAATTTATATTTATTTCTTTGTGTTCTCGACAAGCTTGTGATTAATTCAAGTTTTTTTAGATTATTTTATTCAATTTAAAATTATTCTTAAAATATTAATTTACCTAAAATTATAAAAAAAAAATATGATATATTAAAATAAACTACCGCCAAAATATTAACAATTTTGATTTTTGACATTACTACTATATTTAGGTAAGACTGGAAAGAAGGAGTAAGATATATTTTTTGATTGTTTTAAAATGTATTCAGTTTATCATTGCTAATTTAAAATACCTATACATATAAACTACAGAAATATATTTTTACAGAGAATGTACTTATGTTTTATTTTATACTATTATGTAAAGGAAATTAGTCATCATATAAAAACAATCGATGAAATGTACTATACGGTTCTCAATTTTCCATCATTCTATAATGTGCATTCATATGATGCAATTTAAAAAAATAGCAATTATTTCTTGCTAGAAAAATATAAAATATACTAACGTATTTTTAGCAAAAAAATATATTAATTTAAAATAAATCAGCTTATAACCAGTTTATATGCCATCAACTAGTGCAAAATACTCGTACCTCATGGTTCATCATTCATTTCAAAATTTCGCTATTTATAATAAATATTAAATTAAAAAAGTTAGACAAGTAGGTATTGCTTTACTAGACATTAGGTATCGAATAGAACTCGTTAATATTAAATCATTTTTAAAGACATCATAAAATTTAAATTTAATGATAACCCATTGTATACGATGAAAAACAATTCTGAGCAAAGACTGTCTACATTTTGGTAACTATGGTTAATAATAGTATTGAATTTGCGTAAACATTTTCGTTTTTCCTTAATTTTTTGTTTGTTTTTTCCGATAAAAAAAAAAAAAGTTCTGGATATTTTTTATTTCAACCTCTAAAATATAAATTAAAATTATACTTAAAAAGTAATATTATGAGTTTTATTTGTATGAAATAATATTAATTTGAAATTGAATGTCAGGAAAAAATATGATTAACTTTTATCAAGAATTTATAATTATAACCATCCAGTATTTCATCGTTATTACTCATCAGCCATCAAGTTCATTTACAGAATACATTATAGGAGTGTATATATTTGTAATTTATCATAATGTCTGGTTATTAATTTTTATAGGTAACTTAAAACTAAAAATTCTTTTATATTACTTCTCATAGTAATTATAAACTATTTAATTTGTTGTACACTAATCTTTTTTTAAAATTTGAACTTATTATTTTATAAAATTCTAGAAGCATTGTATGCAATATAAAAAAAATGCATAATAATTACATTCATATTATATACCTATAGAAACTTAATGTAAATATATTGATAATTTTGTATTGTTTAGATTTAGACGATTTAGTACATATTATGCTTACTAATGTATTTAAATTCAAATATTAGTAATTAATTTAATTATTGATGATCCGTAATCCATACATTCTAAATATATATGGTATATAATATATATATAGTAATTTTACGTTGATATTTCAACTTCCTATTTATGGTTATTTTATTTTATTGGTGTTATAAACTTATTTTATTTCTATTTGAAAATTGAATTTAAAGTCCATATTTTTTTGTTGTATTAAT